CTGGCGAGCCGAGAACAGGACATTTGACTTTGAACCAAATAATTTGCCATACTAAACATAAACGTCAGCAATGTATACACGTTTACCCTTATAGTTAATTTGACAGCCATCACTCTAGAAAATTCTCTATCTCTATAACTAAAAAACCACTCTATAGCCATTGAGATATGAATGTCACATAATTAGTGTTCCCCTAACGTCCCCAGATGTGGGTCGTAAAATGTAATAATAGGATAAATCGAAATGTGCTTTTATGTATACCAGTGAGTTTTAGAGTTTCCTTTATTTCGCGAAGTATTCCATTTTTTCTACCTTGGCTATAAGCTAGGAATCAGCTGTTTGCAATATGTCCGGTTTTTTCAGCTTTTCTATGAGAGAAAGCTTGTAACAATTTAAAATTTTAAATAGTTGCTGCGCCGAGAACATTTTCTCGTTTAGTTTTGAAGAAGCTTTAGTCGCATTGAAACAAAAGACTTAAGCAATAAACTCGGTTTATTTGTTTTAAATTTCTAGAATATTTATATTTCGTTTTTATAGTTTCAATAAATATAGGAGAATTCTAGTTAATTGCAGAATTTCATATGAATTATAAAGATTAAAAGATTTAGCTCAGATATTTACATAGGAGAACAAATTACTGAAGAAAAAAAGCGTCATCATCCCCTAATTTAAACTAGTACGCTGTCAGAAAGTGGTAGCAAGGACCTCTTTGTAAGAAATTACAAGATTTAATTGAAGATGTTACTGGTTAGTTGTAGAAACGCTGTTTTTTGTTAACTTGCTTCCTTCCTTTCGCTTTTGCATAAACGTATATTTAATTACGGAATATCTGGTTTAAAGGTAGATACAGTAAGACCTCTTAGTAGTCAAATCCTGATAAAGCAAAAGCAATCCTTGGATATGGCAATATCTTTCAAATTCTTCCCATAAATATGAAACGGAATGATGGATGCACGCCAGATGACTGTTCTTATGGCGTAGTATTTTTAATATTGGCTCTAGCCTTCATTACCAAGGCGAGTCTTATCCATAATATTGTCGCAGAAGAAACGTATGTGAAGAAAGTCTTTATTACATGTGAGAGAGATGTAAATAATCATCTTGAAATTATTCTATAATGAGCAGTCTTAATTAAAAGCGTTTGATTTTAAATGTGGGTTCGAATCAACAACCCTCCGACAGTCGCAACTTTTGATAATTTGGCGCTGTCAGCTTCAGTGTACGCTCAAACTGAAAAAAGGCAGTTAGAGAAAATCAAATATATGTAGTCCGATCAATGCTTTTGATCATCGAAAGCAACAATCAACCTGCTATACAAAAGTTAAAGTTACCAGAAGTGAACTCTATATTTGTATGTAGATACGCCATTGAGTAATTGTCAAAGCAACATCACTCACTACGCCAAGACATGTCAAACTCAAAGCTATGACTATTGTTTTCCGCTTCCACACATACACCAATCAATGAAAGACATTTCTAAGTTTCAAATTAGTCAATTTTATTTACAAACTTAATTATAAACAGACTTTTTTTCTCTTAATAAATTTATCTATCACGAACTGAACTTTAT